GGAAATTTAAACGTTGCGTTTCAGCTGCGGTCTCCCTGGCGACATGCAGGATGATGACCCAGTGACACTCCCAGGGATACGCTTTGACTCTCCAGACCGAGAAAATACAATAGTGCCCCCCTTTCGTCTTAAACGCTTTTCTCCTACGTCCCCCGTTTAGCGTGCTAGTAAGCTAGCCTGCTAGCTCCTAGCGCTGCACAGCACAGGTCTCCTCCTCCTCCTCCTCCTGGCTGCTACTCGTCTTTCCCTCAAGAGCTGGGCGACAAGCGAAGACAGGAGCTCGTCGACAAAAGCAAGATAAAGTAAGTCCACGCTGTTTGGGCACTTGTTTGATTGTAGAAATCAACATGACTGTCTTTGACACTGGGCACAAGTTCGACTGTCAGAACAGCTAAGCAGTTAGCTGTGGTGCTCCCAAACAAAGGGGTCGACAACGTGACTGAGTGCCGACTGTGCAGCTAGCCTGTTAGCTCGACTCTAGAAGCTAACAACAGGGTATATCCCTATTTTATCCACATGTTTAATCCGATCTGCACATAGAACAGTGACTGGCGCTAGTGCCACAATTAGTCTTCTCATCTGAGCAGGTAAATCATTGCTTCGCTTGTGTTAATGCGAGCATGCTTCATCCTGACAAAAACAACCAGCTTGGATGGTTTCAGTTGTCAGACGAGAAGCAACAACAGACAAAGCAAGGCGCCCAAATCAACACTTAATGCACGCTGCTGTCTGTGAATGATCTGCAGCTCCACGGTGCTCATCTCCAGCGTTGTTTTGTGTTTTATAGGTAAACAAACAGATTATTTTATTTATTCTTTCGTTACATTTCAGAAGTGGGTGAGATTACTCCCAACAAACAGGCATCCGTGATCTGATGTGAGATCCACGGAGAGACTATGCCTAGCCCTTTATTCCACCCCGAGATTATGGACCACGACGTGGTGATCAGCAGCCAGCACAGCGGAGTCGGTCTGCCCCGAGAAACGGACCAGGAGTCCCGGGAAGAGGACCACCAAGAGGCTCTCCGCTTCGCCCTGGACCAGCTGTCACTCATGGCCCTGGAGAAGGTAGAATGTGGGGGTGGCGGTGGTAGCGGAGGCGGCGGGCTGGTCGACACATTGGATGGGACACAGGGTCCGGGCTCTGAGAGCTGCAACGGTGTGGGTGGAGGGGGATACGTGGACCTACAGATGCTTGAACATCCCAGCGGTTCCCGGGATTCGCCGACATCCTGCTCTCCATCCCCGGAATACTACGGCTCGGGTGGGTACCACATGGCCGGCTCGCACCCCATGCTCCACGGGGAACAAAGCTCCGTCCTCTGCAGCAGGAAGAGAAGTGTCAACATGACAGAATGTGTGCCTGTGCCGAGCTCTGAACATGTGGCCGAGATCGTAGGGAGACAAGGTGAGAGCTGGAGTGTGTGCGGTGCTGTTGTGAGCCAGAAATTATTTGTTGTTTGTGTTTCTGGCCAGCTTGTGGATTCAGCATGCAGCCTGGTGGTTCTTTGTTTGGGTGGCTGCCTGGTGAGGGGAGGGTCTCTCAACTTTTATAGCCTGAGCTCGGTTCTCCGGCCGAACTGCACTCACCGTGCGGTCCTTTGCTGCTAGCATAATGCGGGGGGTCCATTAAAATGTCATCTACTGTGTTTACGTGCCATTTTAACAGTATTTAGACAAAGCCTTGACAGAGAGAGTGTGGTTGATGAGTAGGAGGGAGGGGGAGGGGTGGGAGAGGGTCAGACAAAGCGGCAGATTGTCGGGAGTCTGGACATGTCTAGCAGCCTGCACCAAACAAAGAAACATACCGATGTGTCTTCCGTTTGTATACCAACAGATCTTTAAGTGACAGATTTGCACAGTTAGCTCACACGTCTAATTCATATATATCTTTATGGATCATTAATATAGTCGGCTGAGCAGATTTTAGTCTGAGGCGGGGAAGCAGGCGCACAAACACGGGACTGGGCGGTGTTACGCCCTGCACCCAGCTCCGTCTGTCGATGCTGCCGCTCGCGTATGGGCCGCTGCGTTTTATACATTTCCTATTTCTCTTGTTTTTATCAACATACGCTCCACGGTTTTAACCAGACTCATGTTATGGCTTCGGTGTGCCCGTCGCAGTGGCGATAGCGTTACGGCATTGTTCTCTTTGTTTGAAAAAGCCATGCTTTCTGCTTCCCAGAATGACATCACACTCCGCGCGTCCTATTGGTCGCCGCGAACCAAGCGTCCATATTTAAAGAAACAGCGCCCGATTGGCGCTGGTGGAGCCGCACGAGTTGACAGAAGCAGTCCAGCAGCAGACAGGGCCTCCCTGCATACCTGCTGGTTTTTTCCTCCACTGCCGATCAGTTATTTAGATGTGAATACATAAATGTAAAAGTGGTTAGTGTTCATTTAATTAAAATGACTATTTTTTTTAGTGTTCATCACCTGATTATTCACAGTGGAGCCAAGCATGCTGGTTAATTGGTTTCTTCATATTCAGAATCATATTGGAACTCTTTTCATTGGACTGATTGTTTATTTGTGCATCCAGTACAAGCTGAGCTAATTCAACAGTCCTGCAGTCATGTAGGATGTATCACAGGGTTGTTGTATTAGTTTTAATAAGTGTTATGAATAAATATGTGGACTAGAGTGTGTATAAAGTGTTTTAGTGTTGCTGATGACTGTGTGCTTCTGCATCTTTCAGGTTGTAAGATCAAGGCCTTGCGTGCCAAAACAAATACCTATATAAAGACTCCAGTGAGGGGCGAGGACCCTGTGTTTATAGTGACAGGTCGCAGGGAGGATGTAGAGATGGCCAAACGTGAAATTGTCTCTGCGGCTGAGCATTTCTCTATGATCCGGGCATCTCGCTGCAAAGCAGGAGGACCTGGAGGAGGCGGCTCTCTTCCTGGACCACCACACCTCCCCGGACAGACCACCATACAGGTACAGAGACCGTGTGGCTCAGTCATCGTGCTGTGTTTTTGTTTGGGTCTTGCCAGGTAACAAAGGAATTGTTGGATGTTGTTTTTAAACATGTCAAGAAAGTGAAGTTCCGGTTTTTCAGACACTAAAATCTTCCTCTCATCACTGCTCCAGGTGAGGGTGCCCTACAGAGTGGTTGGTTTAGTTGTTGGACCAAAGGGGGCAACTATCAAGCGCATCCAGCAGCAGACTCACACCTACATTGTGACACCCAGTCGAGAGAAAGACCCAGTGTTTGAGGTGACTGGGATGCCGGAAAACGTGGACCGAGCGAGAGAGGAGATTGAGACCCACATCACACTGCGAACTGGAACCTTTGTGGACCTGCAGGGAGACAATGACTTCCACACCAATGGCACTGATGTCAGTCTGGAAGGCCTAGGTTCCCTGAGTGGAGGGCTGGGGGCATCTCTGTGGTCCAGGGCTACCAGCCACCATTCTGCCCCCCCTCCTCCTCCACCTTCCCCTCCTCCCACTCTTCCCATGTCCATGCACCACTCGTCCAGCCGGAAGATGTCCTCTTCAGTCCCATATCACACGCACAATGGTGGGATGAGCTCTGACAGCTTCAGCACCACTCGCAAGGCCAATGAGGGAGGCAGCCCCACTAGTCCTTTTAGCACAGGCTCCAGCAGTGCTGGGGCAGGATTCACTTTTGGTGGTGACTCCACCCCAGGGCTGCCGTCCTCAGAGGAACTAGGCTTTGAGTTCAGTGCTTCCAACATCTGGGCACCTTTCATCAATGGCGGAGCAGGCAGTAAGACGGCCAGCTCCTCGCAGCAGCAGCCTCTACGTCGTAACAGCAGTGGCCTCAGCGGTGGTGCCATCACTCCACGATTGTCTCCAACTCTGCCTCAGGACACGGGTGTGGGACCCCTGGATCACCCACTAGCTCGTCGTGCACAGAGCGACCCCCTTAGCACTCTCTCCTGGCTACAGTCTGGCAGTGCAGGAAGTGGTTCCTTCTCTGGAGCGTCCAGCTCCAGCTCTGGTGGCTCGTCGACCGGTTACTCCTCCTGCTCGGCCTCCTCCCTTCCCGGTGGCTCTCCCACCGACTCCGAGGGAGGCAGCAGTGGCGTGGGCATCAGCTCTGGGATGCTGAGCCGTCTGAAAAGTGGCTCTGGCCCCGGGGTTGCCGCCCTGGTCGGTGTCAGCCCTGGGGTCAACAGGGACTGCTTTGTGTGTTTTGAGAGTGAGGTGACAGCAGCCCTGGTGCCTTGTGGCCACAACCTGTTCTGTATGGAGTGTGCCGGGCAAATCTGCCAGTCAGCTGAGCCAGAGTGCCCCGTGTGCCACACCCCCACCACACAGTGCATCCGCATCTTCTGCTAATGCCCCAGGTACGGGGTAGGGGGTGAAATATAAAGAAGGGACAGGAAGAAGACTGAAGTGGGGCACCAGCTGTGGCAGAGGATTCACACTAAAAACCTACACACACAATGGACCAGAATACATGCATTAATAGAGATGGTGATGATACTTGTTGATTTATTGCTGGTAACTGTTAAGATTAATAATAATAATAATAATGACAATGACTTATTTTCTGAGTGAAGTAAATAGCAACTGGTCTCTCGGTGGTGAACTTATGGAAGGAAACTAGTGTCTTATCTCTCTTCAGGCCTTCATTTTGACCCGGAGCCGCCTGCACCGCTGGCCACCAGTCCGGCTCAACATATATTCATCCCGGCTTCTTCAGATCTCTCCCTGCTTTCTCTCTCACAGCCTTTTGACACTTTTGTACTTAACAGATATTTTTCGATGAAGCTGTCTATGAGGCCTGCACTTTTCTACTCCTTATTTTAATGTTCTCGACAGGATGCTAACTGTTCAACAGGCCCCTCGCTTTCTCCTCTGCTCTCATTCATGCTGTTGTTTGTGACATGAAGCGGGCGGGAGTGCTATTTTTCTTTAAGCTTGGAACTTATTTTAATGGGTCGGCATGTAGTCAGGCACCTAGCAGAACAATATGCCAGAGGGACCTCTCAAGGATGGATTCCTGTTTGTTATTGCTACACGCAAATTAGCCATCGGTTATGCCAAATGAATGCTATTAATAGGCATTTCATGATTCTTGATCAAACTCAATAATATGTTGGTTGAATTAAGTCACATTTCAAATGTGGCTGCTGCATTGATTCATTAATTCTCCTGTAGTAAGTGAGAAACATATTAGTGATGCTGAGAGAGTGTCTGAGGTCTGTATGTTTGGGCTGCCTGACAATCCCTATACATCTCTCTTTTGTGTGTATGAATAATGCCCACTTTGCTGTTTTTCACATTGGCGTCATTATGTATCTTCTTTCTGTCCTGCTGCCCTTCTTCGTCATGTCACTCTGTCTTATAGGGACGTGACGCTCCGATCCATCCACACCAGGACACGTCCTCTGTCTGTTACACCAGGTTGGCTCATGTAGTGTTTTCTATTAGTTTTTGAATCTTGACTGTAGAGTATGGCTAACAGGCGTATTTTGAACTCTAGGATAAGATGGGGCTTTTCTCATGTCACGTGAATGTTTTGTCCAGTAAGGTTAAGGAGAGATGGCTGCCACACGAAATGGTAACAAGGGGCTCGACTGAACAGTTTTTGGTTTGTTTTTTTTTTCCATGCACTGTAACCCCCAGCCCCTCTAAAAAGTTTTTTTTTTTTTAAATGTTTTTAAGGAAACGGCTCTTACTGTTTTTAAGTTTTGGTCTTCCACCCGTCTCACAGCAAAGCTGTATGGCACTCGCTCAGATAACGTCCTCGTACCCGTATAGCGCAGTCCTCCCAGCCAGATGTAGTACACTACATGGTTAGTTGTTTGAGATTCGTTCTGTTTCATAGCATATCTCCTGATGAGGCAGTTGCATCCAGTTTTGTGTTTTTGTGTGTGTGTTTTTTTTTTTTTTTATAAGAGTTTGCAGTAACTGCCTCTGATAGTTGTAATACTGTATGTATGATTTGGGCAGTGTCGGTCGTAAGGGCACACGGTTGCCATTAGTGGTCTTTTTTTTTTTTTTTTATAACATAGAAACAGCTCACTGAATGGGACAAGCCATGACAACTGCATTAAATTGACACACCTAATTCTCAAGGGCTTCCTCTGACCTCACAGGCACACGGTTACATTTTCAGGCTCACACAGTAGGAATGGATCAACTTCTCCTTTATGGCAGCTAGTAGCTAGGTCACCCAGGGCTTCCAGACACTTTGTGTTCAAATCCCAGCAGCTGCAGAATGTTTCGCTTTTTGTTTTTAAAATTTTTTTTTCCCCAACTGTCCCCTACACAGTCATCACATTCAGATCCTGACAGCAGAGCATGTCTCCCTCCCTGGATGTAGTGTCCGATCAGGACAGGTGGTGGGTTTTGGTATTTAGAAAAAAAGAAAACGGTAACTGAGTAGATAGTTGGCAAAAATGGGCAGTTGCTGCTGTGCTTTGGTGCTCCAGCTGGTACAATGCTAAACTTCTTTGCAGTCTGTTTGTTTGTTTGTTACTTAGCTGATGTATAGGAATCTTATCAACAGCTGTCCTGGTTGAGCGCAGCAGTGCACTGGTTCATGTGTCCGCATGAAATCTGCCCAGGAGCTGAACTGGTTAGTCTCTGTGAAGACTACCTCATGGTGCTCTGGTACAACTCCCTACTGAAAGTCAGTGGTGAACAACCCATTAGGTAGCGTGAGGCTGTTTGGTCCTCAGACTATAAACTTGTGCAACCCTGTTCTCATTCTGTGGCGACCCATCCCCTCGTCAGGCTCCAATGTCAAGCGTGGCATTGTCTTGTACTCGCGCACACTCGAAACACATGCAGGGCTGCAAATGTGTCTGAATGAACAGATCATTTGTAACTGGTGTGAGTATGAGGCCAATTTTAAAGCCCTTTCTTCAGACCGTCCAAGTCTGAAGAAATGTGTTATATTTGCCAGATGGGCGTAATATGATTCTGGTGCTGCACCAGGAGGTCTCTGGCCAATGAGAGAATGTTAGGCTGAAATGTACAGTAGTTGAATTGTTAAAAAGGTACTTTTTTCCCCCCAGATTGACTGCTTTTTACCCCCACTCTGCCAGACATACCCCCTCCCCCACTTCCTTCCTAGAAGTTTGAAAACAGGGTTTCCTGAGGCTTGCTAGCCAGTGACCTTTGACCTTTTTTGTGATTAGAGGGGGATGCGAAGTGGGGGGGTGATGGACTCCCCCTTAAGTCTCTGCTCTCCTATTTTTGCTTTAATTCTCTTTGTATGCAGAACCAAAATGTAAAATGTCAGCAAACTAGGTTTCAGGCCTGACCTGTGTGTAAATACCCTGAATACAATCATTGGGATCTTTTGTTTTCAAAAGCAAAACGACTTAATTGAAGATAAGTGTAGTTTCTAAAGAACATGTATCATTATTTGTAAGTTAACCATCTGCATGTCTTCAAGCCACCTGGCATTAGCTAATAATTTTTAAGACAAAAAAAAAACTTTTACACATTTTATTTTTTACAATTTATTTACTTACCTAAATATCCCAGACAATAATGTGACCCTTTTTATTACTTCAAATTTATTTTTATTTTCCATTTTTTTATTTTCCTTATTTCCTGTGTACTACATATAGGCAATTTATAACAATATGAGAAAATTATTGAAGAAATTTTAAAATTGAAATATATTTTATTTGAAAGTTTATGGACCTTTTAACCGTGAGCCGGGAAAATTGTATGATCATATAATTTGAGCTGACTTGACGGTTATGAGAAATGTATCAAGAGTTTTATTTTTATGCTTCTTTAATAAAGTTGTTTTTTGGTTTCTTTTTTTACTGTAAAATAAGAATTTGTGTCAGTTGTCTTTTGTTTCTGTGGAGTAGAGATGTGCAAGCAGCCTGGAGCGGCTGGGCTCCCCCCTCCTGGCCTCCACACTGAGGCAGCAGAGAGACGCCTGCTGCAGAGCTGCACATCATGACTGCAGCTCCCTGTAAATCTAAACACAGAAAGCTGGCTGAAGATGGGTAAGCCTGGATCTGCAGTAGTGTTTACATTCAATACCTACTCAAAGGCAATAATGGCATGATTAGTTGCTGGATTAGAATTTTGTTTTCAGCTTCTAAAATGGCGTTTTGCAGCTTTTCTAATTTACATCATGAATTAAATGCCTACAGGATTAGTCAAGAGAAAATTAAATAGCAACAAACGAAGTTGCCATATATTAAAAGGTTCCAGCTTCTCAAATGTGCAGCTTTGTCTTGGTTTAGTCTTGAGGGATAAAAGCTCTAGCAACACGTGCTGTGTAGAGAATGACTGGATTTATGACCTTACCGACTTCAGCTTGAACCCTGCATCAGGGTAGAACATAAAACAGAAAACACTTAATCAAGATGGGTGTAAAAAAAAAAATACCCCGAGGAGGTTAAAAAGCAGCCAATCGTACATATATCAGCTAATAAGGTGCTCACATATTGGTGGGCAGGTGCATGGTCAGGCGGTTTTGGACCAATCACATTCTCAAATTAGCAAATTGTGGACACAGATGACGCCACGCACGGTCCACGTCATTAGAAAGATTTCATATAATTGGCGGAACGCTAGTTTAACGAAATTGGCGTCTTTTAGCACACCGAGACCACCGCACATAGCAGCAAACACAGCAGCCATCCCCTTAATATAACAAGGCAAGACAAAGGGCTACAACAAAACAACAAGCAGTTGGAAATATTCTATAAATTCAATATAGTAAAATGCAACAATCTCATCACAAGTTCCATTTAGTAGCTTTTCTGGAGCTTTCGATCATATCATACAGTCTCATTTGTCATGGAGCATTTGAAAGCTTTTTGTCCTTGCTGGCACAAGGTGAAGAAATAACTCATGAGAGATGGCACACCTGACTCAGCTGTCAATACAAGCTTTTCATCCTTTGACAGTTAGAAGTCTCTTTAACTGGCACAGCAGAACCAGGTCCAGTCCTTGAAACCTGCAGTCCCTGTCTCTTATCCACCGTTTACACTCTTCAGGTATCATGAATGGATGAAGTGTCATGAACTAGCAATAGCGTTTTGTGTGCATGTGGAGGGAGGATTTGTACGTAAAAACGTTTTTTAACTTGTGAATAAAATCTGTAAACGTATTATGTTACATAAAGACACTGAAAACAAGCGTGTTTGTGAACATCTGTGTACAGACAGAAAGTAGCTAATTGCCCATACAACTCAATTTAGGAGTACTGAGGTTTAGCGTGAATCTGATTGGACAGTGACTGTCCAATCACAGAGCGGAGTCAAATTGTCCAATCAGGTTGTAGCTAGGTTCTTCAAGTTCGTCTCCGGTGATGGCTCTGTAAGTTTGGTTGTAGTGGAGACGCAACATCAGGAGTTGTTCTGCTGCTGAGGTGGGTTGCATTACAAAATTGTTGAAAATTACAGTAAACATTTCATGTCAGCGCGCAGGGTCCTCGCTGTTAACACAGTTGTCCAAATTTATGTTTTCTATTCCAGGTGGGATACTTTATTTAGCGTTAGCCGAATGCTAATGTAGGACATTAGCCGTCCAGTCCTCTTGCTTTGCATGAGCTTGTCAGTTGTCAGGCTAATTGTGAAACCTACTCAATCTAGGAGAAATCTCTTAGAGTTGACTTGTAACTTATTCCCTGTTGGATGTGTATTCTTGTAGATGAAAGAACTCCTCTAGTTTTACATGACCTATTAATGTTAATGACTTTCATATTTAATATTAATCGTGCAGCTCAATAAAAAAACGCCGGCCGGTTCATCAGCATGGAAACTTAACAAATTGTTTGCACCTGTATGTTTCCGTGCTCTTCAAACTGAAATGCCATGTTACAGATAAGAGTGCTACATTCAACATGTTGCTTAAATAATAGTGCAAAGGCATTAGCAGCAAAATAATAATAGAATGCATTTCATTTTTATGTATATTATTTGATTATAATTCCTGGTGCATTATTGTTCATCATTTTAATGTTGTAGCTGAAAAAAGGTAGGGATAATTGTAACTGTTAGAATTTGAACTTCTGATGAGTGGCCAGAGATTACTGAAGTTTCATGATTAGGCTTATGCTGTATTTCCTTTTTATTCATCTAATTCTGAAAAGAAACTATAAACTCAAGTTATCAAATAAATCTAGTGGACTAAAAAACGTATGGTAAGATGTGAAGAAGCAGAAACTAAAAATAAGTACAGATGCCTCAATTGCACTTATGTACAGTGCTTTTTCCAACAGAGTTCGATGCTGTTACATTAGTGTGACTAGTAAGTATAGGCTGGGAAAATTAAGGAAAGATCAGGTGAATAGGGGTGGAGGCTCAGATGCGCAAGAAATATGAATTGATTAGAGAAAACAGTTGTCACTAAAACTCCCGTTCAGCCTCAAAGTGCATCATATACTGAGAAACCTGAATAAAGAATGCAATGGCCATTAATGAATGTTTTTAGTGTAAAATGTGCATTTAGTAAGAGCTGTGGACTTTTCCTGCATGTATTTTTATGAAATGTGTTAGTTTCTGTCACTCCTACGTATGGACATCAACTCCAAGCTCATGAGGTGAGAAACATATGCTAAAGTTGTGGTGGTTTGAGAGAGAGACACTAGCACTGATATCTTCAGATCAGACTTTCTCAGCTCTTTTTTCCTGACAAACTAAAGTGTTTGAGCAACTTTGATAAAAGTGTAATTGCATACATTTCATTCATTGTTCCAATCTGACCCATTTTTTCCACTGAAACCTCATAGTTTGATATATGGTGTCCACAGAACACATGGACAAGAATATGGGACTGGCACAGCGTAAATAGTCTCGGGCATGTTGTGAGGAGGCCCCTGTCACTCCTACGTATGGACATCAACTCCAAGCTCATGAGGTGAGAAACATATGCTAAAGTTGTGGTGGTTTGAGAGAGAGACACTAGCACTGATATCTTCAGATCAGACTTTCTCAGCTCTTTTTTCCTGACAAACTAAAGTGTTTGAGCAACTTTGATAAAAGTGTAATTGCATACATTTCATTCATTGTTCCAATCTGACCCATTTTTTCCACTGAAACCTCATAGTTTGATATATGGTGTTTAAGACAGCTGTAAGGTGTGCATATTAGTGTCTTTAGAAGTGCTTTCACTCTGCATTTGTAACCACCATGTTTGTACACAGGGTCAAAATGAACTGTAGTGTAAGTTTCACTTACTGTAGGATAATGAAGCTTAAGTAAAAACTTGCAGTGTTCTGTAATGTTTGTGGGAAACTGTCAGAACATAGTGATTGGCTGTGTTTCACTTGAGAGCAATGAAGGTCAATCGATAGTGTAGAATTATCTTTGAAAGGCTTGGTTAAGAACAGGAAAGTATGGTACAGAAGTTAACTTGTAAGCAACTTTGAGTAAGCTGAGTAACTGTCACAGGTTCTGACCCTCCAAATGGCCAAAAACAAGGCATCCATGAGGCAAAGAAACATGACTTTACATCCAGGTACTCTGTGCACTTCTATACACTGATCAGGCATAATAACATTGACCACCTGTATGCACTTCTCTACCTTAACATTTGTGTTTATGAAGCTCAAAATGTTTGTTTGTCAAATGTATATATAAATTCAATTATGTTCATTGAGGTCAAAAAGGTGGTGTTGTACTGGACTACATTATATTTCAGAGGGGTCAGAATATTAGGAAAGCCTCTGAATATAGTTTAGTACAACACTTAACTATGACCTAATTGAATTTAGGTCCACACTTATGAAAACTGCAACCCTGCTTTTCAGTCATTCACGTCACCTTTAAATTCTACAGAACAAAAGTGCACACAAATTGTAGTCTTGTGTATACCTGTAAAGTAACTTGTGCTTAATTCCAGTCATTAAGAATCTTCATGAACGTGGACAGTGAAGTAGACTTTTTACAGGCCCATAAAGTCCCACACCGAATACCCTCTTTGTTTTGGGCCAAGATGGAAGACAGTGAAGATCCAAGACCTGAACCAGTGCCTGTTATCTTAGATGTTAAAGTTGCAATAGCTTTATTGAAGAGGAAAAAAAAAAAAAAGCCCTTGCAGAGTTGAACACACCATCTCCCACATAGAGTTCTTTCCCCCCCCTCCCCATGCTGAAGTTTTGACATACCCTGTAAGATGGGAAATCCCTACTGGTGGGTCATCAAGGTAGAGTACCTCACATTTTCTCCATGCCGTTACACTGCATGTGCCTGGATCACAGTTGTGAAGACTTCACCAGTCATGCAATTATGCGAAGTCTTATCCAAAAAAAGAAAAGTCTTGTAAACTCTGATTTCAATAAATGGTAGATTTATAAACAAACTTGCCTGTGTCTATGCATGTTCTTCACTGGGCCACGTGCCTTCAAGTTCCAAGTTGGTGTACTATATATATAACAGTGTTAAACATTGTTTTACTGTCACTTTCTTGAAATAGTGGGGGGGAAATGAACTACATAAATATTGTGTATAAATCTATGCAAAAGTATGGTTAGTCCTGCTGTTGTGTATATTGCCAAAGCACAGCAAGTGAACGAGTAATAAAGTACCATCAAGAACTAGTACAGTCTCAATACAATTCCACTTTGACAAAATGATACAGGAATATTTTAGCAGTTCTGTAGATTGATCACCCCACAGGCTTTATATTCAAAATGTATTATGAGAAAGCCTGTAATGGTAATTAAAAGTGCTACAAAAGCTAGTGAATCCACCTCACATCAGATTGTCACCTACCTTCATTCATGAACAAAGATGTCCATCATACAATAAGCCACCCACCCAGAGCATCTCTGAAGATGGAGAATATTTTGTACAAATCTATGAAAACAGACCATTGTTTTTATTCTGGTGAACTTACCCATCCACAGCTTAAAAGGAGTGTAGTGTAGTTTTTCTTGAGGGAAAACATAAAGCATGTGCTTCCTATTGTTGGTCATCTGGAGCATCTTGTTTGTGTAGCCAACAAGAACAGATCCTCTGGCCACTGCCACCTTGAATGTAGAACAGGAGGCATTAGAGTAGAAAAAGACAAGCGTGTCACAAATCTATATATGATTTTAAAAAAAGAGAAAACGAAATGTCTTCATTTCAAAAGCACATCTGTGTTTAGTATTTTCTACACCAACCGTTATAGGCACTGAGCAGTGAATTAACTTCACATGTGGTCTCCCTCGGTTGTTAACCTAAAAAAAAACATTACAAGACTCCTTTACTTGCAGCTTTATACAAGTCACCCTCCAGTTCATCTTCATTCCCGGATACTCCGTCCTTTAATCTAGATCTAGGTACAAAATTCTCTCCATTGTTAACAGGACACCATTCTTTAACGTGAAGTTACTTACTCATAGTTTTTGATGTCATTAAATCCTGGCATCACTTCCGCTGTCAATAAAACCTGCTGATATTTTGAATAAGAGTTTAATTTAAACAAAACAGGCTTTTCATTAATGAAGACTGGCAATTGATGGTTTGTCTGGACTTCAATCTGTTGTCCTGCTGCCTTATAAGCCCCACCCACTGACAGGTGACTGTAACGAGCTCATCAGTGTAATTCACTTCACCTGTCAGTGGTCATAACGTTATGTCTGATCGGTGTCAGTCAGAAATCCTACTGGTAGTGAGTTGTACTGTAATTTACCGCATTGTATTATTTTCCTACCAACATACATACTTTGTATCTATTTGGTAATAATTTGAATGTGTTAGGTTAACGTGCAGTTTTTGTGAAATCAGTCCCCTCATTAAATTGTAAATTAAATTGACCTTCAAAGGGGGTCTATCTTAACCAGAAGATGTGAAGATATAACTGGAAGATGATTTATAATGGAAAATATTTGTTTACAGCCCTAAATCAAATGTAGGCCCACCTCCACAGTGCAGGACCAAGTGTGTTTGCTGCATTCAGTAACAGTAGACAACTCTTGCAGTCTTCACACTAAAAATGTTTTTATAAACTTTCTGGCCTGTTCCCCCCCTCTCTGTGGTCGAGAATGAGCTAAAACATCTGGTTCTACTTGTGTAAAGTGGTCATGTGTGATACTTCCCTCCTCCCCGTACAGGGAGGTCAGAGGTCGCAGAGAGAACACAGTGAGCCTGGCTGGAGTGGAAGCAGCATCTGTTGAATCACTTGTATGAGTCCGCTTTTATAAAGGTGGCACTGAAAATTTTTGAATATTTTTCTTTACTTTTTGCTTTAGAAGCTCATATTAGATACTTTAATAAGGTTTAAAATTATTTTAAGATATAACATTCCCTAATACAAATCAGCCTGCAGTAATATGAGTCTCAAGTATCACAGAAAGAATAACAAAACCGGTTTTTAGACTGACACAAAGTCCTTTTAATAGGAAGCAGATCACAGTCAGGCTGCATTCCAGTTCCACTTCATCCTCGATAAAGAACAATTAATGATAAGAAACAAATTAGAAACATTCTTAGTAGAAAATAATCCTCAGATGCAAGTTGTGTTCACACTACATTCGTACTGGTTACAGAAGATGTATTCACAAACCTTTCTGAAAAGCAAAAACACATTGATGAGTTATCAGTACATAGCTTCGGAAAATAAAAGCAAAGAAAGTAAAAAGTCAAGTAACATCAAAGAGACGCGTGCTGGCACAATAAAGTTTTGCATCATGCAATTGTAAGTCGGTTCTATTCACAGGGTGGGCATCATTTGTCTCCACAAAGTTGCGTTGGCGTGCATGCATGCATGTCGTTTTATATGTGCCCTTTTTGTGCTTGAGCAAAGAACAGTGTGTGCGCGTGTGTGTACAGCGGTGTCTGTATGCAAACAGTGAAGCAGGCAACCAGCAAGCCTGAACTTATGTCATTTTGCGTTGCCATTTTTTTTTTCAGCTACAACCTAACGAGTCAGGTTTTACCCTGAGCCCTGGGATTGCTTACACACAACACATACAAACATTGTAACTGCACTGTATGTCACAGAGATGGAGTGGAAAGCTCCTTCTGAAAGGCTAGTTCACCCATAAATCAAAGATATGACTGAATGTGTGAACCATTTATTAAAGTGAAATTTGGAGGCCTAACTCAAAGGCATTAGTTGGCATCCACAAGCTAGTCGTGGTTTTGGATTTACACATCCCTTTGATGGTAGAAAGAAGCCTTTGCTGAGGATAAATAACATTCAGAAGATTTGTTTTTGGTAGCATTCACCAGTATTCAGAAAAGACAACATGTGACAGGTCAGCAGCTTTGTCTGCTGTGCTGTTGCCCCACAGCATTTATTCACTGTCACTGACATCATGAAGTCATCATCACAAAGAGACTATGAGATGAGCTGGACTACGACTGTGGGTTCCTGCTCACAGGTAAACACACATGACAATACTTAACACCATAAATGCTTGGCGGTGACTCTGATGGCTTCTTTATTTGAAAGCAAAACCAAACAAATACAAACATGAGCTCTGGTTTGTGTAAATTTGGTCCTACTAAAGGCAAATAGTCAAAGGACTAAACATTTTCCATCTATCTTAATAATATGTGAGAAAAGGTGAACACACTTCCACCAGGAATGGGGATTTTATGAGTCCATAAATAAAACACCTTAGTGCTTTACAAATTTGCCACGCCTTGGATCTGAATATTGCAGTTAGTGCTGCTGGAGTTACACTGACAGCGTATACATGTTGGGTATGTAGTTAAAAGATATTGCTCACAATCTCAGAGCCCATTTTGCAGGTGTGACAATCAGCCCACAAACATGCTCACACACACATGCACACACAAATTAACAAAAACACAGCAGCATTCACAAACAGCTTGTTCCTCATAAAAACCTCAAGGTTCACTGAACATACAAACAAACCACTATTGCCTTAAAGAGAGGGATATAGGTACGTGTGCAGGCAACCAGGAGGAAAGTGTTCTCCCGAGTGTGTCCTTCTGGGCTTCGTGTGGATGTATTTCAAGTTCCTCCACAGACTTGAAAGACTTACTGAAACGCAGTGTGGTGGAAGTTCTATGGCAGAGCATGGACAGTATGGATTAGTGCGTAAACTGACATCCCAGTCCAATGATCCTGTAGCCCTTTTCTGAATTAATGTGCACTCTAGGGGTGTAGAAGTGTTAGACACTGTGGTATTGCTCCGTTTGTCGTGGTGTGAAGCAAGAAACGTTTTTTTAAAAAATGCACATTGTGGCCGCACCTTTTACTCCTATCGACACATATCAGGTCAGCACTGATCCACTGTTGAAGGTCAGTCAGGTCATATTCATAAAACCTTACTGTACCAGGGTTATATGCACCATGCTCACACTGGTAAAATATTGGAGGCACCCATTTTTTATTCAGGAGGGGAATGGTTGCCATGGTTATAGCAAGTGCATCACAGTGTTCCTGGGGTCAACATGCAGGATGTTAGTACATTACAAAACAGACTAGCACAGATGTTGCCCCTGGACACTGATCTGTGGTCAGTGTTATGCTTTTTTGGGCGTAAGGAAGCTGATCTTAGATCTGTGCCTGAACACATCACATTGTGGGAAGACTATGCAGGAAAAAATAGCAGGGATGCTGAACTACAGACAGATAGGCAGGTGGACAGACAGAGCATAGCTAGGCAACGACTGCTCTCCTGAAGGCTGAAGCAAAAGTGCAAAGTGGTCATTCTCAAACTATTCACATGGTTTTGTTGTTCAGCATTACATTAGATCACATCTAAATGTAACAACATACAAAAGGTGACTGAAATGGATGAACGGCTTGCTAATGTGAGGCTATGCCTAAACTGAGAAGTCTGAATTGGGCTGTTGAAATATTTAAAATGAAACATGACTTTACACTGACATATTCCCCCCATGTTTGCATTGATAACATTGCAATGTAAATGTTGCATAATGTACGCAGATATAAGTAAAAGAGAGCATTTTCAAGTGTGTGCTTCTGTATTGCACATGGTTGTCTATCTGTGTAGGTGTGAGCAGTATATGTGTGCATAATACTCTGTCTATTAGGCATGTCTCTGGTGTTCTCCTCCCTCAGCTGCGGCCCTCCTCAGCTGAGCGCTGGTCCGACTTGAGCTTCACAAACTCCTTTGCAACGTCGTCGTTGTTACGCTGAGAGAGGATGCGCAGTACCGTCAGGCCCGTCTCATCCATGTGGATGCGTCGTCCCAGGGGCAGCCAGCAGGTGACACTGCCCTTGTTGGCTATGTCCTTTACCTGCAGCACAGCCATGCCCACAGTACGGTCCTCTCTGGCGAAGCAGTAGTCCTTCACACACACCTGCAGCTCGTAGCTCTCTGGACCCACCTCAGTGCCCAGTGAGCTGAAAAAAAGATATCATCATATAGGTTCGTACTGGAGTGAATCAGCATCATTACACAGTTCAACTGCTCAGCTATGGGCTATCTGGTACAAAGCTGCGTGAACTACCCAAATGTGGCTGAAACTATGGACACTCACTACTGGAAGTTCTCGTTGAACTTGGGTGACCAGCTGTTGTTCTTGGACTTGGTGGCAAATTTTCTCTTCTTGTCGCTGAGGTGAGGACCGATGATGTAGACTTCCACAAAGGGCCTGAAGCCCTGCGCCTTCCATTTCAGATCATTAGCAGCCACCACTGGAGGGAGAAAAGTAGGTTATGTCAAGCAGAGAGGGAAGGCAGGAGAAGGTGAGAACAACAGAACATATGAACATGCACACTGCACTGCTTTGTTACCTTTGACACTGATCTTGTGTTCTCCATTAGGCTGGGGTAAGATATCCACATTCATGACCACCTCACCAACTGCATCCACTCCAGGTGCTGTTAAGACACACTCACTAAGTTGCTGTTTCTCAAGAAAAACTCATTTTCATCAGCTGACACAATCTGTTATTCATCACAGTTTGCACATCCTACTGTCGCCTTGATTTCCAGTCACTGCAGCTTTTACATCCCTATCGTGACCTGTTTTGGATAACATCTGCTTCTACCCCAAATATATTACAAGCTTCATCTACCACAAACAGTCCTGTGCATATATCTTTATCTTAGCCGATTAAAAGAGGAAGGCAAAAAGGAGGAGGAAAAGCAGAAAGGGAGCTGAGGTTGTGCCAAGGGCTAACACTGCTCAGTGCCTGGGACACTGTGATCACACAGATGTCTGAGCACGAGTCTGAGCTGCTCTGGGGAACATGCATTACATAATGCTGCTGACAAGTACCTTTCTCTGGTGGTGTGTCTTCATTTGCCGTGTACCTGATCCCTTTCCCTCCATGGACTGAGAAGAGAGAGAAAAAAAGTCAGCATTAAAGAATAGGAAAGAGTACCTGCTGCTCCTCTGAGGGCTCCTGGGCAACTTTTTAAATACTGCTGATTAAACAGCTGCTGGTTTAAATACTTGGATGACTATCTGTGAGGAAAATATTTTAAAGTATTTTTTATATGCTGATCTAAAATCCAGCTGTGAACATTTAAGGTTATATCCTGGATATAACTACACCAGCAAATGCAAAAAAATATTTTGCATCTACTGCTGTAACTTACTGAGGCAATGAATGAAGTATGTTTCCAACTCTGTCAGCAAGTAATTGTATTTAATCCCATAATCCCATAAGCCATAGTAAGAGTAATAAGATTTGCCATTTTGTGTGAAATTGTTTGAACCTACTGAGTGACAGTGTGTGTGCTGTTTGAAGTCGTACCTTGAGTGTTCTGTGAGAGGACAAACTTCCTGATGAGTTTGTCTGTGGCCTGTGTGTACAGAGACAAGGCATAGCGCAGAGACTGCAGGTCCGGGCTCTTTTCCAAGAACGTTTTCTTCAGGCCCACGCCACCGGCATGGAAATATTGCTGCGTAACAGACATGACATGACATGACACACATGTTGCAGACTGGCGAATGAAAAGTAGCATCCTGGACCTGGAAAGCTTAAATTTTCTTGCTCCAAACAAAAGTAAATAAAGACAAACTTACTTTTACAAAAATACTTTAAAGTATGAACCAGGGACACTAATTTTCCTGCCTACTGATGTTTGTGTAACACATCATAAAGTACGATACCTTAATAGTGTCCAGTGCCAGCTCTATTACCGCACACTGTTTAGGAGTCAGCGCCTTGGCCTCCTCTCGGCCCATGTGCTCCTGCATCACAGGTCAAACAAAAGAATCAGTCCATCTCACCAGTTACTGCTAAAATGTAGCCTCTATACACATTTAATCTGTTGGTGTTTTACACCGTTTGCTGCCTTTTATTTTCATCACCTTGAGCTTGGAGAGCTGGCCCAGCTCCTTAGCAGCGTTGAAGATCATCTGGGTGCCCTGTTGAAGAAAAACAAACAGTAAGTGAGTACAGTGTGTTAAATTCTGCCTTTAAGAGCTCAGAAGGTGATTTGTAAAGTGAGAGGTGGCGTCAGAAGGTCTAGTAAAGAGATAGATTCAGATACAAGAAATGTGGTTGATGAGGGGAGAAAAACTAGACATTTTTAAATATTTTCTGTACTCTCTCGCATTGTAGATTTGTGTGAAAACTTTGTGAGACTGTAGTAATTTAGAATTAAAAAAGCTACATCTCAGGAGAGCGAATGACTAAGTGCTTTTTGTGTACAGTCAGTATGTATGGCAGGGAGGGATGCATAGACAGGTAATGTTGTCTCTTGTGCAAAGTGATGAGTTTTAAATCGAAAATGTTTTGATGCACCGATAGCAGAAGAAAGAACTGTAAAAAAAAAAGAAGTCGGGAATCAAACCGCAAACCTTCTGGTTAGGATATGACCCACGCTACCTGAGCCACAGCTGCCCCCAGGTGACTACAGAGGGTGCTGTACAGTCACAAAGGAACGCAGCTATGAAACACACCCACATTCAGAAGCACAGAAGAAGAAAAAGCAGCGAATGTCATATTTTACTACATACCGTCTGGTCACTAAGTGTTGGAAGCACTATTGTTTTTTCCATGGTGTTCATCACTAGCCTCCACAGTTCCTTCAGGACTCTCTTCAAGACCGTCTTCTCACAGATCTTTGCAAACAGCGACAGGCTGAAGCACAGAAAACACAAAATCTCTCAACTGAAAGATATGAAAACAACGCTAAAATATATTTTCATTTATTTAAAGGGTGTACGCATGTTATGGCACTGTGAGGGTTTGAGCCAGTGTGTTCATATGGGTACAAACACTATGTGACTTGTGAAGTTTTTGATTCTGCTTTCAGAATGAGTTTTGATATCAAAACACAACTTTTTCAATTTCTTAGTGTGAGGAGTATAAACATTCTTCTACAAACAACTTGCTCATTTCACAAAAAACAGAATATTGTTTTAACAAAAGCAGGTCAGCCATCCAAGAGTTTTGCCATAAAAAATTGTGTAAAATCAGCAATTATTTTATTTTACAAAAATAACCAAGACTCTGAATCTGATCTAACAACTCTGACATGTTTCAACTAAAGTAATTCTTGGTATTAATGTTTGAACTCCAACTGTACTCACTTGCTATCCAGAAAGTCCATGATGGGCTGCAGGACGTTGTCAGCTTCCTGAACTACGCTGCCGTTGGCTGGGACAGTCTGACCTTTGACTTGAGCTAGAATGTCCCCCATCTGCCTCACATTGTCCTCAATCTGGGGCTGGAAACTACAACACACACGAACAACATGAAAACGTCAGCATGAGAAACAGGCTGCAGTGTCTCTTAGCTCCTGGCAGAACACACCCACCTGACTGCAAAGATGTGGCTGAGGTCATCCATGACGTTGTTGAGTTTGTTTTGCAGATCCTTGAGGAAGTCACTAGCCTCCACATTGAGCTGAAAAAGAATGAACAGGATTAATACAAGGGTCATATCATATTAGCACGATCCCAACAATTACAGGGTGTATGGAAACGTACATTTTTGCCTCCCATGGCCTCAAACATCTTCTCCAACTGCACTCTGAGCTGCTGGATGTTATTGATGATGATACATGGCTAAGGGGAGAAAGAGAATAATCATTACACACACACACACTTCTCTCTCCTTTTCCTCTGCCTGCTTCCAGCCTTATATTGTGATCAGCTTTTTATTCAGTCTTTGCTGAAACACTCTTGGTGATGCAGGACAAGAGGAGCAGGAGGTTTCAGTAACTACTGCTCCCCTAGGGGCTCCTGGTCTCTCTGGGAGCACAGCTCACAGTAAATCAACCTGGCCATGTACATCAAAATGTATACATGTTAAAAAGTCTTAATGGAGCTCAAATAAAACTTCTACTCTGACACATCTTAAAGACTTACCACTTTCTCTTTCTTGACATGATTTGGAAAGTCCTTTGCTATGATGTCTGCGTAAGACAGCAGGACATTGCCAATAGTCTATGAGGGGAAAAAAATAATGGAATGAATGCACAATTACAGTAAGAAATTACACAAAAATGCAGTGGCTGGTCAGGTAAAGTGGTTCAGCGTGAGCATGAGGAGGTAAAAGTCACCTTGGCGAATCTCTTCATGTAATTGCCAACAATCTGAGGGTCAGGACACTCCAGTTTGCGGATGATCTCAAAGCTCTGATTGAGCTGAGAGAACACGTCAACCACTGAGCAGGAGAACAAAGCGTGCTCTGATGTGACCTGGAACTGAAGAACGAGAAAAAAAAAGAACAGGTCCAGGAGAAACGTGTGAGAAGATGCCTCATGTTCCTGATGCTGCAGGACAACTTATGTTGAAAGTGAGTTTGACTCCCCTGAGGGCCACATATGGGAGAAGTTTACACACTGTAACACGTCATAGACAATAAAATTGACTCCTCTTCAGCAGGCATGTGACTCAGTCTAAATATCTGTGAAGCAATTCCTGTGAAAGCATGAGGAGAGTTGTGATGAAGAGCCGGCCCCTTATTAACAGGCCAGCCATTAGTGTTGTGTTATGCAACCGGGCCTGGGGACCAGTGTTTCGCTGACACAGGACAGCAGAAGCTGCCTCGGGCGACAGTAATTTGACCCAAAGGCTCTCTGACTTATGAGCTGGGAGAATGTTCAGCTACTTTGTTTCGACCTTATTGCTGTGTGGATATGTGGGCGTGAGCCAGACAGAGTGGGAGTTGCTGTGTGTGTGTGTGTGTGTGTGTGTGTGTGTGTGTGTGTGTGTGTGTGTGTGTGTGTGTGTATTGTCTCT